CTAATTTGCAGGTTCTGGAACACAACTTAATATATCCAGGAAAAAATTCAAATTTATGTAAATTGGATAATAAATTACAATAAAAAACTCTTCAACTTTCCGGTGTCAAATAATACTACAGGGCGAGATAAAAAACTACAACAAAGTCAAAGGCCATAATTTTTACATTTTTTTGAAATTTTATTGAATGAAAGCAAAAAATGTCGGAAATAGCATCAAATTTTAGAATAAGATTAGATTTGTTCGAATTGGTCACCTCCAGACACAATCGTCCAACGGATTGAGATTTTGGTGGCCATTGTGCGCTGGAAATGAAGCGAGGAGTGCTGGTGCTGAGTCCTGTTGGAATGTTCAAGGTCTGCGGCCAAAATGTTTGCGTGCCCAAGCCTTTAATACACTCTCCAGAATATTTTCGCGATAATATTCGGCATTTATTCTGATGCTACGGTCGATTGATACGAGCAGAGAGCTACCATCGGCTGTCATGGCGGCCCACACCATCACCATGTCGATGTGTATTTAATATGGTGTAATTGACAATCATATGGTTTTTAACTTTTTTATTTTTGTTTGTAAACTAATCAATTTCAATTTTAGAAGTTAAATTTCATAATTTGTTTGAAGCAGTTCTTATACCAATGTATTAACATGCAAAAGGGTAAAACGCCGTGTCAATTGGTAGAACTGCAAATTGATTCCTTTAGGAATCAACATATGCGGAATTTATACTCGTGTACCTAACCCAAGGATGGAGCATTAACAGCCTTTTCATTTAGCTTCAGTACTTTTATTGCAATAACCATTGGGGCTATATAAGTGGCCTTGGTTGATCAAATAAGTCTAATCCGTATGGTTATGTATATTGCAGCTCAATGTATGGATTCGGTAGCTGGTGAGTGTGTGCTTAAGCTAGCTGATGCTAGACTAGGCATATCACAATGGTGTGACCCAATTGTGTAGTCGAAAACATCTCTGAGCACTGGCATCGAATTTATACTATGATTAATGTTGTTTCTGCTTTTGGAGCTGTTGACACTGGAAAACTGGAAAATAGGTTTATTGTACCCTTTAAAGGGGGTATGGCAGTAACCCTGAGACATGGGAGTACCACATGTTATGCAGGAACTGGTGAGAATCCAGTCCGACCATTGCAACGTATCATTGGAAATCGCCTTTGGGTCTATTGGTGTTGTTGCATGTATGATTTGTTCACATTTTCAGTGAATGCACAACCTAAGGCCATCGCAACAATTTTCGGTCAATTTTAAAACTGGTTCTTTTTGGGATATTTATTATACCCTACACCACAAGGTGGTCAGGGTATTATGTCTTTGTGCATTTGTTTGTAACAGGCAAAAGGAAACGAGATAGACCCATAGTTCCTTTTGATGATCTGCATAGAATCACATTCTGCGTCGATTTATGCATGTCCGTCCGTCTGTCCGTCTGTCCATGTATTTTTGTAAACAAAGTGCAGTTCGAATTTATTGCCCTATCCGTATGAAATTTTGCACAAATCATTTGTTTGGCCCAAGGACGAACCCTATTAAAATTGGAGATAATCGGTCAAAATTTAGATATAGCTCCCATATATATCTTCGTCCGATTTGGCTTTTATTGTGCACCAAACGTGTAATATCAGTCCGAATAGTATGGAATTTTGAGGGTACGATCAGATTGGACCTGAAAATAAGTACGCCAAATTTAATCGAAATCGGTTCAGATATAGCTATAGCTCCCATCTATATTGTTCATCCGATTTGTTATTTTTGTCCTCCGCAGCCGTAATATGCACTCTGTAACAACAATATTTAAGGAAATATATCAAATACAGCTCAGAAATACATTTGCTAAATTTTATCGAGATCGGTTCAGATTTGGATATATAATTTCGTCCGATTTACCTTTGACTGTGCACCAAACGACTAATATTTGCCCAAATTGGATGAAATTTGGCACTTACGACCGAATTGAGTCTAGAAGCTAGTATGTCAAAATCGGTTCAGATATAGCTATAGCTCCCATATATATTGTTCATCCGATTTGTCATATTTGTTACCCACAGCCGTAATATGCACTCCGTAACAACGATATTCAGGGAAATATATCAAATACAGCTCAGAAATATTGTTGCCAAATTTTATCGAGATCGGTTCCGATTTGGATATAGCTCCCATATATATTTTTATCCGATTTCAAATTAATTGTGCACCAAATGGGCAATACAAGTCCGAATTTAAAAGTTACAAATGCTTCGGCATATTTAGTCCTTTGAACTTTAAATTATAATTGATTGAATTCTCCCATAAAAACTTTTAATTGTTATGCGCAGCTCTACTAAATTAGCAAAGTGGTGTAGGGTATCATAAAGTCGGCACCGCCCGACTTTAAGACTTTCTTTACTGGTTTTTATTTTGATATCATGCAGGAAAGATAGTAAACTTTTATTTTCGCAGGATGAGATTTTAAGGTAAACGTATACGCGCAATATTAATAACAGCGGCAGAGCTACAAATAAAAATCAGAAGTATTAGTTGTTGTTGTTGTAGCAGTTTTAATATGCTCCGTTGTTTGTATTCTGATTAATCCGGCTCTTCCTCAATGTCCAGGTTTAGGAATTCTGCTTCCTTCATGGGCTGTAGCCAGAGATCCTCTGGACGGAGTTGGGTAGGTTTAGCTGGACAATTAAACAGGTGCAGCGTATTGTGTGGGCCTGTATCGCACGCTGGGCAGGCGTTCCGCACATATTCGTCAATTCGTGGTTTGCGTAGACAATCGACGTTCTTCAACTGCAATGGATGGGGGTGGACTCCGAGGATGGCATTCATACTGTAATTATTAACGACCTCTGCGACTGCATCAGTTTGAATGTTATTGAGAGCCGCTTGATAGGCTTCATGATCTAGGGGCTCTCTCTTATATCGCTGGACCTCTCTCTCTAGATCATGCAGGTTCTTCCTGACACGCCTGGGTGGGGGAGTTCTGTCCACCATATGGTGGTTAGAATGACTCCCACGAAAACACCCAAGCAGAAAGCATATGAGTATGCTGACGTAAGGGAAGAACCTTCGTCTCCTCATGTAAATGGTCCACAGGAGTCATGAGGAGGCACCCTGTTGCAGTTCTCAGGGCGGCATTCTGGCAGGTCTGAATAATTTTCCACTGTGTTGCACTCGTGTTCGCCGACCACAGACCGACCTATCGCTTTATAAGAGGTCAACAAGGTTTCCTTATCCACACCCCAAGTGCTGCCAGTTTGAGGACCTTTCCTACTTTCCATTTTATCGCAAATAGCTGTGGCTTGCGTGGAAGACTTGAACACGTGGTAAGTAGTGTGGCCGTCGATTTAGTGGCCGATATTTTCCTATTCCTCGCATGGAAGAATGCGGCAAGCTCCGCGAGATAGTTGTTCACCCTGACACATATGTCATTTACTACAGGAATTGACGCCATTTAATAGATCGAGAGCCACCACTACTGTTCTATGGCATGGCCTGTTCTGGTTGAGTCCTCGACTAATATTTGTGGATATGGCGTGCAAGTAGTAAAGCCTCGAGAGTCTTTGCTACTGGCGACAAAAGCGAAATTTTTCTGTATGATCCGCCTTGCCAGGCTTCAGTAGCGGGACCACCATGCCCATCATCTAGGCTTCGGGAACTATGTGGGTGGCAAACGACAAGTTAAGGACTTTGGTTAAATACTCAACTTCCGTTGTATCCAGTTGCATCAACATTACCATTGATATTCCGTCCGAACCCAACGCTTTAGGTGACTTAGCGTTGCGGATGACAATCGTAACATCACACATCGTAAACTGTGGAAGTACATCCTCGGCGGGAAGACCTCTTATACGACGTAGTACTCTTCGCCTCGTCTAATCACTCTCGAATCAGTCACAGCTACGTCGTTAAATATGACTGCTGTCCTATCGTCCTTTTTCCCAGGGTTCGAGAATGACTTTAAAGTTACCCACAATTTACTCAAATCGGTTCCAATGTTGCAACACCTCAGATGGTCTAGGCACTTTTTCCGCTTATGCTCCTGTAACAACCTGTTGACTTCCACTGTCATCTGTCTGTTATCAGTATGGTTGGTACGTCGGAGCTCATCACGCTCATTCGCTAATCCCGCTGCCTATGCTGGGAAATTTGGTCTTACTTCGGGTATTCGACCAGCAGGTATATATCGAGCGGCTGCAGCCTTGATGGTGTCCCGGAAAATCCTTTAAGATACCCGAAAATCAGAAGGATTGGGCAGTCTTCTGAAGCGAATGTTGGTGAACTCCCTGAACTCAGGTCAGTGGGCTTTCCCATGGTCTGCCAACGCTGGTCCCGTCTGGTCATTACCTAGGACGGAATGCCACAACTCATGGTGGGCATTGAAATCCTCGAGTACCAGGCGGATATTGCCTTCCAAAAGTGGGTTTATATTAGGCAAGTAAGGCGGTTCACAGCTATTAGCAAGCAAGTATTCCGGGATGTGCTGCTCCCCATACAGAAAAATAAATAAACACAAACATGTATACACTGGGTTGGCAGCCGCTTGCCGAAACTGGGATGTTGTTGTTTCGGGTTAATCTGGTGTCGTAGAACCCGATGCCGTGGGATTGGATTGTAAAATATTATTTGTTGTAGTTGATGCTACAATATAATAATATAATATATAATATAAATGCAATGTTCTGCGACCGGAATTAGAACCCATTATAAACTACAAACACCAAATTGTAGGCAAATTCGATAGAAAGTGACTGCAATCGCCCAAATACCGAATATCCGATGGTACCATTATCTGGCTGCTATAGTAAAACCTGGATCTATACATATGATTTTTTTACCCGGATAAATACATCCTGATATAACGCGAGCAAAATGACCGATATTTTCAACTTGTTATTCCGTCATGTTGGTTCATTCTCATTGTAGCTCACTGTACTTTACGCAAACGTTACATTTCAATACATATTGTTTGTGCCGGCATTTATTTTCCGTTTATGTTTTCGTTCGCTCGTTCGTTCGTTAGACGCAGTGGAATCCCAAATACGTACACAAATTGGGCTTTTGTGAGCCGCATTATCAGTGAGAGATTTGACAGAGCAACAACAATCTCTGACATTATCGTATCTAATACATTGTGAGATCAGCTGCATTTAGAAAATAAAAATTCTTATTGTCGCACTGAGTGAAATGAAAACGAATAATCGAAAGTAAGTAACGGTAGTTCGTTTTAATTTTCATATAAGACCTTTCCGTATCCGTACAGGAAGCGCGTATACTGGCACCGTGTATTAATTACAAAACTGATCGAGCTATACGAGCAACATGAATGCCTTTACAATGAAAATCACAAAAACTATAACAATCGAATAGAGCGATTAAAAGCCCATCGGAATATGCTGAGGGAATTGCAAGTGATCGAGCCGCATTTGAGACTTCCAAATGTTCGTTCAAGAATATCAGCCATACGCTCCCAGTATGCCAATCAACTGGCCTTGATGGAGTCCATGGAGAGTGCTGGTAAGACGTTCGAGTCAAAATTGTGGTACTTTCCTAAATTGTCGTATCTCAGGGACTACATAAAGGCAGCTCCCTTAGATGAGGTAAGTGGATTTCTTTTTAATAAATAAATTGCGCTCAAATATCCGTTGTTGTTATACATCGATTTACCTGACATTTACACCCACACATACCAGTGGGGAAAATTAAATTTTCGATCAGAGTTCGTATACTCAATCCATCGTAAATTTAATGTTAATGTAGGATAAATAATGGCCCAACATAATATTGTAAATTTGTTTTTTTTTTCATTAATATGTTGTTGTTATTGTTCAATTAATTCCATTTAAATGAATGGACACAGTTAGAACGATTAAAAGACAAAAGGTCAAGTCAACCGCTGTGATTTGTGTGGACATGCCATGGAAATGTGATAAGAAAAGAGGCATTAATATGTATTCCCTTAAAAAGTTCTAATTAAACAGAAACGACCCTGTATTATATGGAGAACTTCTTTGCCAGTCTAGTTGCAAAGTTGTAACTCATGCGGATCAAAAATTCACGAAAAAGGAACACATAAGCTTTTTTTCGCAACAGAAGTCACAAAAATGAGGAAACATTGGGAAAAATTAAAACTTTTAATACCCTCCACCATTTTGAAGGATCTTGAATAATGTTGTTGCCAAATAGTCAGGCTTAATTCCATTATTGTTGTTTTTATATAAACAACGTTTGTTTATGAGTGGAGAAAGATGGTAGGAGCCACCAATCCTCATCAGTTCCTTTTTTTTTGTCTGGGATATTCTCCCCAGGAGTTATTTTAAAAATAACTTCTATGACGAGATCTTAAGCTCAATAGAAGGGGAACCAATTAAATGAGAACCGTTATATGCGGGATATACAAAGACGTGGACCTTCATAATTAATTTTCATACCCTTCACCTTGGAAAGAAGGGTATATTAACTTTGTCATTCTGTTTGTAACATCCCTAAATATTCGTAATGTATATGTATTTATAATCAGCATAAAATTCTCAGTCGATTTAACCATGTCCGTCTGTCCGTTGAAATCACGATACAGGCCACATTATTTGACGTAGAGCGTCAACATAGCAGAATAATTTGTATTATGTCTAGGATGGTTGGTATTGAAAATGATATATCGGTCCACGTTTTGAAATGGTCCCCATATAACGGTATCTCTCGATATTCGGTATTTTGATGAAATTGGTAGGTCATAATGGGTCCTAGTTCATGTGGCGAAACATTGTATGTATAGGTCCACGTTTTGGTATAGCCCCCATATAACGGTACCTCCCGATAATAGGTATTTTAATGATTTTTGCCACATTTTTTTACGGATTTGTCTGAGAATTGGTATTTGCAGGTCATAGTGGGTCCTAGTTTGTGTGGCGAAACATTGTATGCATAGGTCCACGCTTTAGTATAGCCCCCATATAACGGTATCTCCCGAAATTCGGTATTTTGATGGTTCTTGTCGATTTTTTTTCACGGATTTGTCTAAAAATTGGAATTAGTTGGTTATAATAAGTTCTAGCTCCGTTGGCGAAACATTTTATGTATAGGTTCACGTTTTTGTATAGCGGTACCTCCCGATATTCGGTATTTTGATGGTTTTTGTCAAATTTTTTCACGGATTTGTCTAAAAATTTGAATTAGTTGGTCATCATAGGTTGTAGCTCCGTTGGCGAAACATTGTATGTATAGGTTCACGTTTTTGTATAGCTGTATATAGCGGTACCTCCCGATATTCGGTATTTTGATGATTTTTGCAAGAATTTTCCACGAATATGTCTAAAAAATTGGTATTCGTGGGTCATAATTGGTTCTAATGTTGCCCTTACCCTAAGATGGAGGGTATTAAAAGTTCGGCCCAGCCGAACTTAATGTTCTTTACTTGTTTGTCATAAGCTATAGTATCCAGTACGAACTTCAAATAAGAAATTCGAAACAATTCCGGTGAATAATGTCACTAAAATCATCAAAATACCGAATATCGGGAGGTACCGCTTATGTGGGCTATACGAAGACGTGGACCTGAATAGACAATTTTCTTGCATAGGTTGTAGTACTCATTACGAGCTTCATGCTTTAAATACGAATATGGGGGATATACGATATGGTGGACCTATATAGACAATTCTCTTCCTAATATCGGGAGGTACAGTTATATGAGGGATATACTATTTCGTGGACAATTCTCCTATAGGGGGTAAAGTACTCAGAAGCAACTCCTTGTGTGGATTTTCAGACAATTTCTTTCAAAAATGTGGCTAAACAGTTATATGAACTATATACGATATCGTGGACATATATAGACAATTCTCTGTCAGATGGTAAAGTACTCACAAAGAACTCCTTGTGTAGAATTTCAGACAATTCCATTAAAAATGGAACTAAAATCATCAAAATACCGAATATCGGGGGTACCGTTATAGCCTATCTTCGAACTTGTCCTGCCTGCAGACAAAAGACAGATCTGTTCAAAATTTTATCTTTTTCTTTTTATCTTAATTCGTTTTGACTGTAGCGTGATTACAACGGACGGACAGGTCTAAGTTGTCTTAGAATTTTACGCTGATTAAGAATATATATACTTTGTTGGGTCTAAAAAATTATTTCGATGAGTTACAAGCGGAATGATAAACTTAATATGCCTTCCTTACTATGTATTGTGGAGGGTATAAAAAGGGAACTTCAACGAGTCACTTATGGTTTAATATCGTTTAAACAAGTAAAGAAGTATAGGTTGGTTTTGCCGACAGATGTATACACTCAGCCAATGTTCGATTATTTAAAAATATTTTGAATTATGTTATGAATTTTCAAACTCTTGACCCTCTATGAAGTGGGTTTTGAAGAAATGTGTGAAATTTGAAGAGAGTTAGATGCTTATTTCGCTTTTTATGAGCGTTTTGTTTGTGGAGTAGGTAGCAAAAGAAATGGTCCGATCTCTTTATAACAGGTCTGGTGTTAATGGAAATATTGAGATGTACCATGTCTGGAATGGAATCGCTCTTTATGAGTTTCATGGATATTCCAAATTTTGAGCATTTGTGGGGGAGGTACCAGAAGGAGCGGACCGATATTGTCAATTTTCACACCTGACCTAGCACTGACGCAAATATTAGGATTTGCAAAGTTGTGCAGAAAATATTTTTTTTAAATTTCGGCACCAGAAGGCACCAAACCTTGGGTAAATACAAATATTGGGATGTGTGAAAGTTGAAGACAATCGGACTCTTACATCACTTTTTATGAGAGTTGTAATAATTTACAATTTTGACCCATTGAGGGGGAAGTATTTGATATAGTGGACCGATATTGTCCATAACCGCACCAGACCTAGCACTAACGCAAATATTAGGATTTGCAAAATTGGAGCAAACTTGGATTATCGTTTCTCTTTCTGTGCAGAAAATAGATTTTTTTAGAAATTTCGACTATTTGTGGAGGGGGTACAAGAAGGAGTGGACCGATATATTCTATCTAAACACCAAACCTTGGGTTAATATAAATATTGGAATGTGTGAAATTTGAAGACAATCGGACTCTTACATCACATTTTATAAGAGTTGTAATTATTCAAAATGTTGACCCTTTGTGAGGGAGGTATTTGATGGAGTGGACCGATGTTGTCCATTTTCGTATCTGACCTAGCACTGATGCAAATATTAGGATTTGCAAAGTTGGAGCAAAATCGGATTATCGTTTCTCTTTCTGTGCAAGGTACCAGAAGGAGTGAACCGATATATTCCATCTTAACACCAGGTATTGGGATAATATATATATATATATATCGGGATGTGTGAAATTTGAAGATAATCGGACTTTTACATCACATTTTAAAAGAGTTGTAATTAGTCAACATTTTGACCATTTGTAGGGGGAGTTATTTGATGGAGTGGACCGATATTGTCCATTTTCACACCTAAATTTTTTTGAAAATTTCGACCTTTTGTGGGAAGGTACTAGAAGAAGTGGACCGATATTGCTCATCTCCAAACCCGATCTAAGTTTGACAAAAATATTACGATGTACCAAGTTTGGACCAAATCGGATACTCCCTTCGAGAGTTATCGTGAGCACAAACCTGACAGACGGACGGACATCGCTAGATCGACTAAGAACGTTCTGAAACGGATTTGGTCCAAAGAGACCTAGGGTCTAAAGCCGTTATTTCGACTAGGCACGTTTTGACCGTATCAAATGTATACCCTCTGCAGCCATATGGCTGAGAGTATGCACTATTATCTGCAATATTACTGATAATAATACATAGCCAAAACGCAAATTTCAGTATTTGCAATTATAATGGATGGAGAAATGTTGTCCATTTCATGTTGGGAAAAATAGACCCCACAATAATTATATTACAGTCGTATTATTTATAAGACCTTAAAATTATAACGCATAGCAATTCTAAAATCTTAAATTAAAACTCCCAGAGCTAGTCTTAAACGTTATGATATTCTTCCAGAAAAATTCACCACAATACGATGACGACCATGACAGCAACGATGGGGGTGAATCATTTTATCGAGAACTGAAACGACGAAGGTTTAGATCAAAGTAAGTTATTGATGAGAAATAAAAAAAAAATCTTTTATATGTCGTATTTTTTTCTATACTTTTTTGCAAGGAATCGTAATTGGGATCTTTTCGTGACAGAACAGTTTATACAGCTGTTGAAAGAACACCCCTGTCTGTATGACGAACAACATCCGGATTATGGTGATTATGAAAAGAGAACTGTAGCACGGAAAATAATTCTGGAAGAAATTAAAAATGTACTACCTGATGCCACAATTACGGACGTAATTGCCAAAATCAAAACCTTAAGAGATCAATATATCCGTGAAAAGAATTGCAAGGCTTTGGCCGAAAAGAATAATGAGAAGTATGTTCCACGGCTTGGTTGGTTCGATCAATTATCGTTTATGAATGTCTCTAAACAGCGGAGGATCACAGTAAGTATATGCAAATAAATGATTGGCATCATAGGCACAAATATAGACAACGAAATGCTCTCACCGTACATCTTCGAAAAAAATCGAATCAGCAGATGTCGTCTATATCGTTTTAGGGGGTTAAGTGGGAATATTGAAGTCACTCAATTTGTGTTCCATTATAAAAGAATAATCAAATGAAATTCTTGAAAAACCATAAAATGTGTTTTCGAAGTCGAGTAGGTTGAACGAAACAAAACTAACTTTTCGTTGTCTATATCTTCATTTGTCTATGTTGGCATGCCCTTGTGACCCTGATTAATTAATTATTTTTTTTAGTCTAAAACAAAAGTTGAAGTCCCACCTGAGGATATGGAGGATGAGTACAATAACAATAATGTTGATGAACCTTCGGATGCGACTACACTCGAACTGGAAGACATTGTTGATAACAATTCATTCGATGCTAATGTTGCCGATATGACCACAGAAGACGTAGATGATGCGCATGATATTGAATCATCGTTATTCAGATCCGAAACTAATACACTTTTTAATGAACCCGTGTCAAACGGCTGTAGTGAGGCAAATGTTAGGCTTGAGGTTGTGGAAAACTATGACTGGCTGGGTCGATTGCTTACTTCACAAGTTCATGAAATATCTCCCACGCTTCGAAGTGATTTTGCCTGGGATGTACAATGCTTAATCAGAAAATACATCTTAAAAAGCAAAAATCCAGGCGCAGAATTGGAAAAAGAAGAAGCAGGAAAGACTGAAATGCCATTTGAATCTAGGAATATAGTATTGCCTCGCTCATCAAATATGTCATTGAATATCAGCTTTATATGAGTATGTTGATGGTGTTTTTTGAATTGTAAGCAATATATTTCGTTATTAGTTTTTGAAATCGTTGTTGTTGTAAAGACGTCAGCAAAAATGCATAATCTATGTAAGTCCATAAGTCCTAGTTGTGATCATGGTACAATAAGGAGGTAGAACAAAAATATGATCCAATCTGTTCAATCTTTCAATTTCAGGGCTGAACTGGTTAATAGCTTTAATGCGCGAGCCGCAATGTACGTGTCTTCCAATTATTGGTTTGCAAATATTTTTTTTTCATTTTTCAAAACAATAAATACATACACAAAAATGACAGAAGTCGGACACACTTAGAAAAAAAATTGTAATCAGCTAATGCATGGTAGAAATTCTACCATGGTACCATGCTTGTGATTTGGAATTTAAAGAAAGTCAAATCACAATAATGTAAAAACTACTAAATCTACAGTAATCAGCAAATATAATTTAATGTTCGAAATTTTTTAGTTGTTCCCATAATTTTGTAATTGAAAATTAATGTGAATGGAATGATTCTCACGAAATGTTATTTTGTGAATGGGAAATTGCATTCTATTTGGTAATTGCAACTCCCATTGGCTCTGTAATAATGGTGATTGTCAAACTGTACATTTATAAATCCATTGTATATAAACAAATCAGATATGGGATTTTTTCTAGGCAGTGAAAACTGACCATATAAATTACAGAAAATGCAGAGTTATTGTGAAAAACAACACAACAAACAACTTCTTGCATTTGTTTTTAGTATTTTTAAAGGTGAAATTTGACAAGGTAAATTACAGAAAATGCAAAGATGGGAATGCTTATTTGAAATGACTTTACCTTCTTAATTTTACCACGGGAGCTGTGTTTTTCGATTTAAATCATTCTTTTTTATTTTTTTTTGTTGTTTTACAAGTCTTAATTCTAACATAAAAAGACCGTTCCACTATCCTAAATGTACAAAAACTTATTGCCATGGTCCAACCAGAAAGGTAGGTAAACTTCGAAGAAAACTGAAAACAAGTAAAAAGTGGACTATACGAAGTCGTGGACCTGATACTAAATTTTTTGTCATAGGTTGTAGTGCCGAAATTCAAATATGAAATTTGAAACGATTCCGGTAAATAATGTTCATGGTACAAAGAAGAGAAGGTAGGCCAACTTTGAAAAAATTGCAAGTATAGAGGTCTACCTGTTTGGCTTGTCATGTCAGAATTAGTATCAAAACAATAAAAAATCAAACAACTTGTTGCATTTATTTCGAATAAATAATTGAAAACCGCGATAACTGAATGAAAGGTCAACACTTCTTTTCAAAATCATGTACTATATATCTCTAAAGGATTATTTCGCTACAAAAACTCTAGATTTTGTCGATGCATACGTTGAAATAAACATTTTGAAAACACCCGAATTTGAATGTTTTCTGAACAATTTTTTTGTTATTGAAAAGAAAACACGTACATAAACAAATAAATATGACATATTAAGCCAAGAAAATAAATAAATTAAAATCATATGGTATCATAGCCCTACCTTGATATCATTGTACCATGATAATGTTGCTGAAATCGTCAAAATACCGACTATGGGGAGGTCCTTTTTCAATACCAAAAGTCCTGCAGACATAATATACCTTTGAGTAAAATTTTATCAACCTACTTCATTTGGTTCGGAAGCTAGAGTGATTTCCACAGATGGACATTGCTAAATCGACATAGAATTTTATGCTATTCTTTTACATATATACTTTGTGGGTCTAAAATGTATATTTCGAGGTGTTACAAACGGTATGACAAATTTAATATACCCTCCATATTATGGTGGAGGGTATAAAAAGAACCAGTCTAGGGTATGTGACGAGGGGTATTAAATTGAAGCATTTTTGCGGGTTAAGCCTAATGTATTAAAAGCTATGTTCGCAGTGGCTTCATGAACGCATATGCTTTACATATCAGGTCCGTCGATGGCCTTTGGTTGTGCATTAACTGAAAATTTTGAACAAATCATATATGCAACGACACCAATAGACCCAATGCGATTGCCAATAATCCGTTGCAATGGTCGGGCTGGATTCTCACCAGTTCCCGCATAACGCGTGATACTTCCATTTCACAGTATTACTGTCATATCCTCATTAAAGGGTACAATAAACCTATTGTCCAGTCTGCTAGCGTCAAAATCTCCAAAAGCAGAAACAATATTAATCGATTTATTGCTATGAAAGTACTGAAGCTAAATGAAAAGGCTCTTAATGTCCCATCCTTGGGTTAGGTATACGAGTCAAAGAAAAGGAATCCAAAATGAAATTTCTCATAAATTCCGCCTGAGTTGATTCCTAAAGGAATCTATTTGCAGTTCTAGAAATCAAAAAGAAAAATCCGATAGTTGACAAGGGTTCTTTACCCGTTTGAAAGTTAATGCGTTTGGATTCAAAAAAAAATTATGAAATTTAAAGTTTGAAATTGAAATTGACAATTTGGTTTACAAACAAAAATAAAAAAGTTAAAAACCATATGATTGTCAATTACAGCTTATTGAATACACCATGCCAAATACGGAATTAGTACTACTTTTGTTCGGAATTCGTTCCTGTGACATGTCTGATAGTTGTGTGTATTTTGTTCCATCACAAACAGTTCTTTGAACCGAAACAACCCCACAAGAACAACAACCTTAATAATGTTTTTTAAATATTTTTATTCCTTTTTATGTATAATTTTTAAAATGTATCATTTATTTCTTTCATTCTAATAAATTATATAATATCAACAAAATTCCCTCGTTTGTTTTGGATTAAAAATTACATAATAAAAACTAAAACAACAAAATCGTATACAGCCGCAAGCATGCCGGGTCCAGTTTCAAATGGAATCCTGCAGCATCAACGACTGTAACGGTAAATAATTTGAATGAAAATTGGCAATGATTGCCATACTACTAGCTGATCAATGAGACCACTCTGGTTCGCATAGATGAGAGTGCGGGTGGATGAAGAGATAGTGGCATTGCGAATTCTATTCTGCGAAAATAATTTACAAATACAAACAATCAATAATTATTATCCAATAGAAATACATTTAAAATATCAATGGAATGGTAAAAAACAATACTAAGATTAAGAAGAAATAGAAGTAGAAGAATAAGAATAATTAGAGTTACATTACAAAATAAAGTGGACATTTGTAGGTTTTAATTTATGTGATCTGACAAATGAGTGGGTTAGGGGGCGGCACTGCAAGTCGAGTAACTTTCATGTACAGGGTAACGGTTCGGTTATTTGTAGTGTGGCTATTTAATATATCCGATATGATGATTAATAACTATTAACGGTTTCTTTTGTACATTCCGATTCATGCTTGGCTTAATGAATGGTTGATTTATAGCTTGTGATTCCATGAGTAGACCTCTGGTATGGCCGATGAGTAATGTAAGTCATACATTTGCGATTTTATGAATTCTCTCTTATCATCGGGCTCGGGACGGACAGTAGCCAAACCTATAAAAAATAAAATGAAAGTAAGTAAAGGTTATAGTCATTAGTCTATGATTTCACTACAGAACATTCAAATACACCCTTTAACTTCCCCTCGTTAAAAAAAAACCTCTTACCATTCTTGTAGGCATATTCCATAATGTAGGCTGCAATTTCCACCGAACATTCGGTAATTTTCTTCAAGGGTGGATACAAACTTCCTCGCTCCAAATCTTCTGGCTCGCAGAGGTCTGCCAGACGTTCAGCTGACATCAGGAACACTTCTTCCGGTATGGTCAACATACCGGCACAGAGAACACCCAATGCAACGCCAGGGAATATGTACGAATTATTACCCTGACCGGGATAGAATGTCTTGCCATTATATTCGACGGGGTCGAATGGTGAACCCGAAGCAAAGATGCATTTGCCGTTTGTGTATTTGTAGGCCTCTTCAGCGGTGCACTCCGCCTTGCTGGTGGGATTCGACAAAGCGAAAATGATTGGAACATCATTATATTCGGCCATTTTCTCAAGGATTTCCTTTGTGAAGGCTCCACCAATTGCGGCGGCACCAATGAGTACGGATGGTTGTAGCGTCTCGACGGCTTCAGCTAAGGAGTTAATGGGTGCATGATCCTGGGCAAAATGTAATTTGTGTTCAGTGAGACCACCGGCGGGACGGTCCTTTACAATCAGACCCTTACTATCAACCATCCAAATGCGTTCTTTAGCCTCGGCTTCACTCAAACCCTCCTTCATCAGAGCCATCAGACAAAGATTGGCAATACCCAAAGCAGCTTCACCAGCACCAAAGAAGAGTATCTTGTTCTCTTTCAGTTGAGTGTTCTTGATTTTCAGTGAGGCTAGCAGACCAGCTACGGCTACAGAAGCGGTGCCCTGGATGTCATCATTAAAGGTACAGAAGCCATCGCGATATTTCTTCAGAAGGCGGAAAGCATTGGCATTGGCAAAATCTTCGAATTGAATGAGACAATTCTGGCCGAAACGACGAACGACGGCATTCATGAATTCATCGATGAATTCGTCATACTCTTGGCCGGTAACACGTTTCTGACGTAAACCAATGTAGAGGGGATCGTTGAGAATGCTTTCGGTGTTGGTGCCAACATCCAAGGTAATGGGCAGGCATTGACTGGGCTTGATGCCAGCCAAAGCAGTGTACAATGATAACTTGCCCACAGGAATGCCCATGCCGTTGGCACCTAAATCACCCAAACCCAAAATGCGTTCGCCATCGGTGACAACAATGGCGCGGATATCTGTTTCTGGCCAATTCTGTAAAAAAGAAATCGGGAAAAATTAGCACATTCGAAAAATGTGTACAACTCAAGCGCTTACCCTCAACACTTCATAGACATGTCCCTTGTCGTTGATGTTAATGTACATGCCCTTTGGATATTGGAAGATTAAACTGAATTTCTGACAAGCCAAACCCACGGTCGGGGTATAAACCAATGGCATCATTTTGGCCACATCAGACGATAATACTTTGTAGAATAGGCGTTCATTGCGTTCGGCCAAGGTATTCAAATACATATATTTGTCCAAATCATTTTCCAATCTGTCCAGCAATAGTAGCGAGTGTTCCACCTGTTCTTCTTCGGTTTTAACACGGACTGGTAAAAGTCCTTGGATACCGAGTACTTGACGTTCTTCGAGGCTGAAGGCCAAACCCTATAAGAGAAGATTATTTGAATAAAGTGGTTATTAATTGAATTTTTTTTGGGATCTATTAAAAGAGGATATTTATTTATTTTACTATTTCTGCAAGAATCTTCTTTGCCAGAGAGTAAGCTGGTTTTATTCTCTTTATTATAAAAATATAAAAAGCAATTAGCTGATTCGATTTCCAAAAAAAATTATCACTTAACTTGCACTCTTTTGCAGAACTTTTATAAATTGTTCAGTTGCATTTTGCAAAAATGTATTTCCTATTCCTATGCGTGTTATTTTCGCTATTATTATTATATCCGTCTGTAGAAATCACTCTAGCTTCCAAACAAAATAAAGTGTTGATAAAATTTTACTTAAACGCACTTTTGGTATTGAAAATGGGCCATGCAGGTCCACGTCTTCGTATAGCCCCTATATAACGGTACCTCCCGATATTCGGTACTTTGATGATTTTAGCGACATTATTCATCGGAATTGTTTCAAATTTGGTATTTCAAGTTCGTAATGGATACTACAGCCTTAGACAGAAAATTGTCTGTTCAGGTCCAATGTTTCAAATATGGTGCTTGAGGTTCGTAATGGATACTACAGCCTATGACAGAAAATTGTCTGTGCAGGTCGATGTCTTCGTATAGCCCCCATATAACGGTACCTTACGACATTCGGTATTTTTGTGATTTTAGCGACATTATTCATTGATTTGTTTCAAGTTTCGCATTTGAATATTGTAATGGCTAATGACAAAAGGTTGCTTATGTAGGTCCACGTCGCCGTATAGACCCTGATATAAAGGCTACATTCGGTATTTTTATTAATTAATTAATTTTCACAGAATTTTTAGCAGATTTCATTTTTTTTGAAAATTCCCAAATTCGTTCCAAATGGTGGAGGGTATTCAAAGTTCGGCCAGGCCGAATTCACAGCTTCTGTACTTGTTTTTATACTAACATAGAGACATTTTTTAGCAATAACTAATGATTGCAGTTGTCATGATTTTCAAAATAGTTTTCTACTTGAGTAAATTTGTTTTTATTTTTAAGATTGCAAAAAAAAAAACTTAGAAATGTAATTAAAGAATTTTATTGCGATATCGTATTTTTATTATTTTTTTTTTTTTTTTGATATTACAATTGACGCGTGTCTTAGGACGTGCAAGTAATATGAAACGTTGTCACGTTTTCCTACAAACATTTTACGAATATGCCATTTGCGGTTTTGTTTTTTTGCAATCAGCTAAATTTCAAGGGTACACAAAACTGTTATGAAACAATTTGCTGGCTATGGAGAATTTAAAATATACAAGTAAAAAAGCTGTAAGTCCGGCCGGGTCGAACTTTGAATAGTCTCCACCATTTGGACGAAATTGGCAATTAAAAAAATAAAATAAAGACCGTTAAAAATTATGTTAAAATCTTAAAAATACCGAATGTAGTTATATTAGTGTCTTTATGTCGACGGGGACCTGAATAATGTAGCTAAAATCATCAAAATACCGAATATAGGGAGGAACCATTGTATATCGGATATACCAAAACGTGGACCAGCACAGACATTTTTCTGTTGTATGCTGTAATATCCATTACGAACTTCAAATTCCAAATTTGAATAATGTCGCTAAAATCATCAAAATACCGAATATCGGGAGGTGCCGTTATATGTGGGCTATACAAAGACGTGGACCTACAGGGCCCATTTTGAATACCAAAAGTCCTGTGGACATAATACACATTTGAGTAAAATTTTATCAACCTACTTCATTTCGTTCGGAAGCTAGAGTGATTTCCACAGACAGACAGGCGGGCAGACATCGTTAAATCGACATAGAATTTTATGCTGTTCAAGAATATATATACTTTGTGGGGTCGAAAATGTATATTTCGAGATGTTACAAACGGAATGACAAACTTAAGATATCCTCCATACTATGGTGGAGGGTATAAAAATAAAACAGTTATATCGAATGACAAGTGGCGATATTTAGAATTAATAATGGAAGACATTTAGGTTCACAAAAAAACCTTTTTTTGGATTTATTGACTTGGCAACATGTGTAGTTTTGGGTCTACGTGCTATCTGGGCAAAATACTTTTTTCAGACCGAACTTAATAAGAATTGTCTCGTTTTGACAAAGGGGAACACATCATCTACAATTTAAGAAGTAAGAAAATGAAGCTTCCTTAATACTTTTCTGAGAGCCCCTTCAAGTTAAATGAAATAAATTGAAACCGGAATAGGCCACTTTAATGGGTTCGTTAACATCGAACAGAACACATATCGTACGATATTAAAGCAAACACCTATGAATTCAAATCATGTATGTATGTAATTGAAATTTATGTGTGAACGTAGGTATATAAGCGAACGCGTACGCTGACAGATTAACACTCGCCAATTGTGTGTTTCACATATCAAAACTATTGGCCGTTAGCCAGGGGAGGGCAGCAAAATGTCACAAGTAACATTTCTGATTTTCACTGTGATTTTAAGTAACGGAAGTGAATAGAGCGGAGGTTAATTAATAATTCATATTGCTTTAAAAGAATTCTCAAAAATATTTTTTTGATATTTTGTTAGATAAGTTGTTTTGGAGTTTTATGTAAATATGCCGTGAATTAATGCACAGACACGACAATTTACGCACGACGTACAACCCTGACATTGCTTCTCTACTCCGACCATTTTAAACGAATCATCACATTATTTCACAAAAAAAAAAAATCATCAAATTTTAATTCATGCAAATTGTTTTTGCTTGGCTGTTTTAAATAAACCTTAACTTTGAGTTGATGGTGTTGTAGTAATCAACGGAACCGAATCAATGCCAAAATCACACGATTTGCAATATAATTATTATTATTTTTTGTTTATAGACAATGATATGATACATACAAACCATACCGTTGTCTATAAACAAAATAAAAAAACTAATTATATTGCATACGCAAATATGATTTTTTCAATAATTACACGATGATATTCAATTATAGGAATAAAGTAACATATTAATTGCACCCGTATGGTTGTACACATTTGTAAAGATTAGATGAATTTCTTCCGCATTTTCATATAAACAAAGAAATCCGGGTGGGTTCTTAAACTGTAGTCAGATGTTCGTCTGGATTTTCATGTATTTCTAAAGAATGACTAATCCAGATCAGAAATAAATTGAATTATTTATTATTTTATATAACAGAGAAGAAGACACGCACACGCACACATTATTTTTGTTTGTCACAGAAATGTAAAATACCGCCTATAAAAATAAAAACTTATGCATGGAAAATTTCCACTTTGTATTCTAGCTTGACACCATAAAAAACTACGGGCTATTTGCATATTTACACGACTTGTTTTCTACAGGGAATCGTATTCTTTGTTATAATTTACGGCCTGGTTTCTATTTATTATTTTAAGTAATTTGTTTCATTTGCTTTAATTTTACAAAAAATGAATGAAAAAATGTATATATAAATGTATTCTTAATGTGACTAAATCGGTTGCTCTCAAAATCCCTTAAATTTGGTGAACACTTTTGTCAGACACGTTATGAATCCAACATATTAGATTGAGTAAATTAAGTTGAAAATTGAGATTAAAAACTTGCAAAAAGATCTTAAGACAACTGGTCTTCTCGGACACCTGTGCGTCTATTGGTTTCATCCTGAATTGAAGAGAAACAGAAAAGTGTCTTGTAAACTGTGTCGGGGAATGAAGAAAGATCGTGCCCCTTAAGTATATGTCAAATACCGAAAAGAAATGTACAGTGGCAGAAGGAATGTTCCATTTCCGAAAGTAATGTTCTTTTATTGAGAGAGCGTACAGGGTGAGACAAAAAACTGCAACAAAATCAAACGTCATAATTTTTACATTTTTTTAAATTTAATTAATTCAAAGCAAAAAATGTCGGAAATAGCATACAATTTTGGAATAAGTTTAGATTTGTTCGGATTGGTCACCTTTGGTACGAATCATGGCCTTCAAACCGTCACACGCTGCCCGAATGTTGCTCTTCGGTATTTGGCCCATTCCCGGCAAAGCGCTTGCTTGAGATGATCGACACTTTGGTATTTTTTAGTGCCAAACTTGCTTTCCAAAATACTTCAGACACAATAGTCCAACGGATTGGTATCCGGAGATTTTGGTGACCATTGTGCGCTGGAAATAAAGCGAGGAAACTCATTTTGTAACCATTCTTGGGTTGCGAGTGCTGAGTGCTGTTGGAATGTCCAAGGTCTGCGGCCAAAATGTTTGCGTACCCAAGGCTTTATTACACCCTGCAGAATATTTTCGCGATAATATTCAGCATTTATTCTGATGCCACGATCGATTAATACGAGCGGAGCTGTTTTGGCGGCCCACACCGGCTGATCTCTTTTTCATTTCGTTTGTTTACAATCTGCTGGACAACGAATGTTTTCTCATCGGAGAAAACCAAATTCGGCAATTCACAAATTTGGCCAAGCGAAGCAACTCTTTAGCTATTTTGAGTCTATTTCCTTTCTGTTGTGGTGTAAGTTCTTGCACTTTTTGGAATTTCAATGGCTTTACCCCGAGCTCATTTTTTAATATTTACCGAATGGAATATTGCGATATGTTCAGATCACTATCCATTTTTCGGCCACTGCGAAGCGGGTTTCCATGAAGTCGCTTTTTGACTTTTCGAACCATTTATGCTCATGTTGCTGTTTTCTTTCGTCCACTTCCTTGACGGCGGGCTACGCTACCAGTATCAGGGTAACGAGCGATGGTACGAGACACAAAAGATTTATTCACATTTAAATGCTGGAGTGCTCTAACGATAGCCACTTGTGGTTTTCCAGCCAAATATATAAGGAAATCACGAATAACCTTTTTTCTGGAAAATTCTCACCTTATAAATGACAGCAGTCTAAAGTTGGTTGCAGTTTTTTCATCTCACCCTATACAATATATACTGTACAATGCTATATAATATACAGATATTATATTTATATAACAGTTATACTATGAATATATTATAC